TACCGATTTCAAGAACATGAATCTTGTATAATAGCAGCAAATCAATATGAAATTTCAGCCTTATGATGGCTAATTTTACATGCATGGAGCAAAATTCTGTTCAAGCTAATCACTCCAACTGAGCACAATAAATTAAATAGATCAAGTACACAACGTTGAAAGGTAGATGTAGAACTATTACATGGATCTCTGCGATGCAAAATTCAGTAGCCTGCGGAAAAATTGGTGAGGATACAAGGGAGGCTGCTCTACTAGTGCCTGCAACACATTACACACATTTTAATTTGTTAAACAAGTAATTGAGAATTAGAGATATATCCAAAAGACACAACCAACATTATCAAGAGGTTTTTTACAGTAATAGATAGTTGCAGGACAACCAGATCAATATTACCAGGTCTGTTTGCATCTAACATGCCCATGAAGTAGATTCTCATCAGTGATGAGTTATATGGGTTAAATTGATTTCAATTTGATTTTACGTTTTCCTCACCCCCAAGCCCATCCCAATAGAGAGACGGAGCAGCAACGAAAGGATTTTAACAATAACACCTTCAATTTTGTAGTCATATCTTGCAAATATTTTATAGGAAAACAAGTAAAACAGAGGAAAGAACTTAAATAGGTTTACATTTAGAACTCTACAACCTAAACGGATAAAAAGCAATGATAATTAGGCACTTAATTTGTCATTTCTCTACCTGATGGATCAAAACGGTGGAAGGTGTCATGCCAGGAACTGTATTAACTTCTATGACAAGCACCTGCAGATATCAATGAATATGGTTAGCATAAAAATTAACAGAAAATTTTCTCAATAGAATAGAACTTATGGTGCAAATGAAATTTCTATCAGCGGGAGAAGCAGAAAAAATAAATATAAAAAAGAGGCAGCTTAGCAAACTGCAAGAACAATCAGCATAATCATAATAATCAGTTGTTCATCCTCGTAATTGCACAAAGGTTTGGTTCGTGTTCAAACTAGTGTTAGTAAATAAGCAAATACAAAACGATAAATACTTATCTCAATGTTGTGTAGACCAAATTGACAATTGCCGTGTCGTGGTGAAACTCTGACCTAAAAGACGATTCCGCGCTACCCCGGTGCAGTAGACATCAAGCGGTCGCCCTCCAGGATAAGCACGGCGCCGGAATTTGTGTGCACTCACAAACCCGACTGGAACTCAGAATACTTGCCCAAAACCCGAAGGGATATTTTAAAGAGAAGGTAAGAAAGACAGCTGATTTTTTGTTTTCTCTTTTGGAGGTGAATAAGGTTGATTTATAAAGCAATGAGGGGAGCAAAACAACCAGCATGGCAGCAATTAAGGGGAAAACAATAATCAATTAAGTGGTGTAACATCCACCCATTAATCCCCCATAAGAGCTAGCATTAATCAACATTAAAAGGTGTAACGGCTAGTCTTTAACCAACAACATTAATCAGCAATAATACCCAGTTAAAGCAGCAATAAAAGGAATCTAAAATCAAGGCCCCAATAGCCATTAAATCCCAAATGTCAAAAGAATAAATACTAACTTTCTTTGTTTTAACTTCAAGAACTTCCAACAACTAGCACAAAGAACTGTTTGACTTCAATCTAGTCTTTAATATATTGAATAAACAAAGAGGTATAATCTTGTCTGATGGTCACACTGGTACAAGGAATTGCTCAGTAGAGATCTAGTCAATAATATATATAGTTGGCCATATTAAAAAAAGCATACCTCTCCAGTGTCAACATTAACAAAGGCGTCGATTCGTGAAAATCCTTCCAGTTGAAGAGCATTTGCTACGAGCTCAACACGTTGTTTGCATTTCTCCAAAGCGTTTTCACTGATTCAAGACCAGAACAAAAATAAACAAAGAGGCTACTTATGTTATTGAGATGAAATAAAGATGTTATAACTAATGAGAAATACATGGTGATCAATAACAACCAAAAATCTGAAGCTTTTGTTTATAAACCCCACATAATTGTACAGGGTCATGGTGGCAAATTCAGTCTTTGTTGATGTGTTCTTCTATCCTAGAGCCTCCCTTCCCCCACCCACATTCCCAGGTAGGGAAATACCCAACCAGTTAAGAAAAATTGGTAAGAAATTACAACTGAAGACTAGAAAAGTAAAACAAAAAAAACGAAAACTGGAGCTCGGATATTCTGTTTAGTTTAGTGCTTCCATGCCAATGTTGTGAAGGACTCAAGGATTTAAATTTGACCTTTTTTGTTTTCTTGAAAAGTTTTACTCAATTATCAATAGTCTTGCATTTGTTTGTTCCTTCAGTTAATGGTCATAATTAGCTTTATTATGCAGTGTATATATACTATACAGAATTGGGTGACTTAAAAAAAGAAAAAAAGAAAAAAAGAAAAAAAAAAAGAGAACAAAATAAATAAGGGTTGTGGTTAGACCCTAGACCTCACTCGTACCATATTAGATCCTATGGGTGCAGGTAAGGTATGAGTAAATATAGATACCTCAAGAAGTCATTTTAACCCAGAAAAAAAGGACCCAAAAAAAGAAAGAGAAAAAAAATAAATAATAAAATAAATAAATAAAACCTTCAAAATACTCTAACAGTTAATTCCATAGAATATACACTTTTTACTTATTCAATTAAACCATGGATAACCAAGAAAGCAAGTCATTAATCCATCATGTCCATCAACTACATGAATTCTTATTTAAACAAGTTCCAATACGGAACTAAAAGGATTCACATATGAAAAGCACTCCTAAGTTGGTATCAATGACATAGTGTGACTCACAGGTATATAAAGACATGGACTACAAATATGTTATATAATCAGCTAAATCTATATGTATAAACTTGAATGTTATGGGTAGCCTAAACTTGGAAATTATATGGTATCAAGTAACTAAAACCAAATTTCAAGCAAAACTGGCAACAGTGTGTTCATACTTTTCCATATCCATTCCAAATTTTCTCCCGCATATATCTAAATGTAGATCTATGTGTGTAGTTACATAAGAACATGATGAATGTTTATCATGTGTTTGTTTACTTGGTTGGTCAATAATACAGTGCAACAGATCAGAATCCCAATGGATTCACTAAGTGCAGCTCTAAAAAGATTAATGCAGAATATAGAGCACAGGGACAAACCTTATGATTGATGTGGGTGGAGGAGTAATATTGATGCCAGTCCCACCTAACAAAATAACAAGGTTCAAGAAATAAGTACATTCCTCACACTAAAAATTACTTCAATTAGCCCAATGTTATGCTCTACACACACCTTGAAATTTCTCTTCTAAAGATAATATATCGCCAGTTTCCTTCACAGTCACACTTGGACTCAGAGAATGCATTGATCCTCTTGTTCCAATCACACCAACAGTTACCTCTACCCATCTACTTCGTCCTTCCCAAGTAAAGCAATGTGATTTGGATGAAACCTTAATCTCATCAGTCTCAATGAAAGGCTCAAATATTAACAGTTCTGGAGGAGGATTTGGCATCTCAATCATCCCATGTGCCTGCAAGCAGTAAAATTAGAAGCATCAACTATGATTTGGAGAAAAAAAATCCTTATAAGTTATAAATATCCATAATTTGCTTATTCCCTGCATAATATTACATCATTTTACTAAGAGGACCTTTGTCATATCCGCACTATCTATTTCAATCTTTTTTTTAGAAACTGGGGTATCCTGAATCCAACATTGCCTTATACTATTTCATGAAGTTTGATGGCCAATTCCGAACAACCCAGATAATAGACTAAAGAGGTTTATCAGTCTCTCCTAACAAAATATTACACCCTTTTTCCCGGGTGAGTTTCAAGGTAGCCAATAGGATATTCCGTGTTTCATCAGAAACTTGAAGTGGTTACTCTACTTCCTAAGTTAAGATGTTAACAATGTCTCGAATTGTAAACAACAAACTTGAAGTTATCAATGTCCTACCTTTGAGAAATTGTTAGGATGTATGCGTTGAAGACAGTTATCCAGAGCTTTTATGTAAATGGCTAAGTCTTCTACACAGCTTCAAGATTTGCAATACAAGATGAAAGATAGATGGACAACAAAAGCATATTGTTAAACAAAGAACTGTAAGAGTAGTCAAGGACTCAAAGTTTCCATCAGCATAATAGCTAAATAATAACAGATACGAAATGACATTCGCAGACCTACCGCAGTCTTGCAACACCTGTAGAGCATCCATCTCTAACAGGTTTGACACAGAGAGTTTCACACTTAAGTTTCATGGTCAGCTCTTGCCAAATATCATCAACAGGCAACTGTAGAAGATCCTGCTTCCTCCTCACCTCCTTGTCTATGGTTAGAACGCCACATTCTGCAAGCTGATAGAAAAAAATCTTCCATTAATCAACTTTTTCTACAAAACCTACAACCATAGAGAATCTACTGAAAAAACTGCATGTATGTCGTCTTTTACATATTAATATAACAATGAGATATTAAAAATATACAATCCAAAATCATACTATCTACTAACTAAACGAACATTGTCGTGTCTATCTCATTCTATAAGTTTGATTATCTTGAAAAGATCTTTATAAACCTTTGTTTAGGGAAAATTCTTCCTAATTAATATCTCAAAGAGCAAGACACACCAGCTAAATGTGCACTAGAGTCCAAAAAAAAAAAAAAAGGTGGCGTTTGGAGCCTCAAAGAGCAGGACACACAAGCATATGCACAAAAAAGATGTCTGCATCTAAGATGACTTTCAGCAAAACTTCACAAAACCAGAATGCTCCAACTTATATTTACCATACATGCTTAAGAGCAAGCGAAGTAGCAACTTTATCCATGCATATTTTGGAGGCCATCACACCAGGACCTTGCACATCATCAGCAATTAAAAGCAAAATGATAAGCCCAATGAAATTGAGTTCAACGTTTGAATCCCAGATACCAATATTCATCATACCCGTGTATGGAATTGTCTCGACCTCCAGCAAAGATTGAAGAGTACCATCTTCCCCAATCCCTCCATGCACTATATTCAAAAAGTGAGATAAATAGATTATTTTGAAAGCACAACAAAATTCATTTTAAGTTTATAATGACCAATGCGCATGAAAGTTACAAATACAAACTAAATAGATTTTATTTACAGTGTCCATCTAGTCAAAAACGTTCTTGTTCTAGATCAAACAACTCCGACTGAGTTTGACACATATACACATCCTTCTTAAAATTGAACTTTGAAACAAATTCTTACTACTACAATCTTCTCCCCTTCTGGAAATATATACAAACTCATTGACAACCAAACTTTAATTCCAAAATTGTTCTGAACTACACCAAAATCTGTTTACTCTGTAATAAAAGTTTTGGAGAAAACACGTCTATTTGAAAAGTTAGAACAAGGTTAACTGGCCAAAATTCTTTAACCCAACAAGAACTTTTACTGACGTACTAAGATGACAGAAGTAGAAATCTTTATCTTTCTTATCGGCCTCTTAAAAATCCGAAAAGACCTCAACAGGGTCATCCTTGACAGAATCAACAAGGCTGTTGTGAAATAGCTACAACTTAGTGATTCATCTATCTGATCTCAGAAACATATTTCTAAACCTCATCTGTCAAAATGCCGAAGTACCTTAGAGCAACTCCAATGTTATAGTTAGGGACTTGCTTGCAATTTTCAAAAGTCACTAGGGACTAGCTTGACCATTGGAGCTAAAAAAATAAAATTAGCTTGCACAAGCTAATTTGCTGGAGAAAAAGAATCCAAAATATGGGAGATCGATATATAATAAATTTAAATTTTTAAAGGTAATTGAGAAAGTAAGGCTCATTCAAATAGCAAGCTAATAACTAATCATAGGGGCACAAACTAGCTACAAAATTTAATGTGGCATGAAAAGCTGATTTGGCAATTAGCTTACCATTGGAGATGCTCTAATAATCTAGTCAGTGTCCCCAAGCCCAAACCTCCCAAAACAAGAAGCAATATTACTACAAAAAAATATCCTTCAAATCTTAAAGAGAGAATAATCTCACAATTCTCATCAACAAAGCCTCTTGCTCCTAGAACACTTAGCATTTAGCACATTCAACCTTTTAGTCCTTGATGAAATAACTTCTATAATTATTTCTAAGAACATGTTGAACAAGTCTCATAAATGTAGCTAATTAGTCAAATCACTATCGCATATAATCCTTAAGCTCCCACTTCCTACAGATTATCCTTCAAGAAGGCATCGCTTCCTCTGAAGATCATCATTAAACACTTCCATACTTAACTCTCTTTTTTTCTTTTTTCTTTTTTTTTTTGTTTGCTTCGTGCATACTTTAATTTCTCCGTGAACCCTACACCCTTCCAGCCTCCATCTCAAACCTCAAACTTGATCCAGCATGCAGAAAATAGGAGAGTTATTTTTTTGGACATGGCTTTCCTACTTCCAAGATTATTAAAAAGCAAGAATTAACTGGAAATAAAACCTCAATCTATAATTACACTGTACCAGCATGAGGTATGAGGTATGGTATCACCCTCCTAGTTGCTAGCTTGAGCCATCCATCACTCTCTGGCAAAACAATTCTGCTAGTAGCACCTGAAGGAAAAACCATTATCAGGGAGATGAATCCACTGAGTTAGTGGTGTTACTCTTCAGTAGGATGACAAAAGCACTATTTTCAACCATGGTAAACTAGTAATCTTCCCATGCAGCATGACTGATAGAGTATAAAACATATTCCTAGGCCTCAAGTCCTCAACCATTAGCTTAAACTTTTAATTGAGATGGTCCTTTAACAATGACCCTCAGAATATACGAACAATCTCATCTCTTCCACTATCAACTTTACTACTGTAATTCACTGATTCACAACAGTGTTTCAACTAAACTCTACAATCTGAGAGATAAAACTGTGAAAGGTGAGTACTAAGTACCTGGAATCAGTTAATTTTTGTCTAAATATCCTTCAGCTTGCAGCTACTAGAGTTGAATTTGTCCATCTCCCAGCTTTGTATCACCTAACCTATCCTGTACCACCCATCTTGCAGTTCTAACCTAAACTATTGAGTGGAAGAAACAAAAAACTGAGCTCCCAATTACAGTATAGTGGCATAGTTTAACCAAGTTTCTGTATTATCCAATCCTTATGCAAGAGAAGGATGAACTTTGCCGGAGTAGGATAACATTCAAAGTTAGCTGTTTTTTCAGAAGGGTATATCTTGGCCTTCAAAATACAACTGATGTATCATAAATCACATAGTCTCTGAGTTAAGAGCACTATATGTAGAGTAACTAGCATAGCCTTTCCAGGTCTTTGACTAATTCAGCTTTGGTATTTTTTGGGGCCATTTAGTTCACAGTTCACAACTTCATGTCACCTACTCATCTTGCCAACCATGCTCCAACCACCTGTTAAGTGGAAGACCTAAAGAGCCTGTGCTGCCCACAACACAGTATTGTTGTACAACTTACCAGCATTTCTTTGTTAGTAGAACCAAGACGAGTTTTATCTGCAGAAATATGATTGATTTCAAATTATTTTCAAAATGTAAACATCTTGTAACTCAAGTATATAGCTGGTGTGGTGTAAAACAAAATCTCTTAGGTTTGAGTTCCATATGCAGAAAATTAATCTTTTTATAGGTTTATGACCATTTAAAAGAATTATATCTAGACAGTAGACATAGGGTTGGATTTTACAATACCTCATAGATATTTTCAATAGAGCTACGGAAACACACCCGTGTTACAATCAATGAAACATGATAAAAACCATGTAAAAGTGCACCTTGAACATTACAGTACTTTAGTTTTTTTTTTTTTTTTTTTTTTTTTGACGCTTAGTATATTTAATGTACATGGAATAATCACTTTTAGTTCATGTAGCCGACCCCACTTATGGGATTAAGGCTTTGATTGATTGATTGATAGTATATTTAATGTTTGAGAAATAAAAGTAATAGGAAAAAGGGTAATTGTGAAATGATTTTGTTAGAATATGCCTTAAATCACTATGCCCCTAATAACCAACCCTGCAGTCCTGCACGTAGCTAACACATAGTTAGTAAACAACATAGAGTTGCATGTTCTTACTTAGTATTTGTTCTTTGATAATTTTTCTTATGTCTATTATAACAGATTTTATAATGATGTCTATGGTTATGCAGCAGGGGGTTATATAAAAAGCAAAACAGATTGTAGACAACAATGTACAACCTGCAATAAAAACAGTTGCCTGAACATTCTTGGCCAGCCTGACCCAATCCAACAAAGAATACATAACAGGCACTTCATCAGATATATCAAACCCTGTAAACCAGCTGTGCTTCTTCAAACCTATCATGAGACCTTCCATCACCTCTTTTCGTAAACGAGATGTCAAAGCAGCTCGATCCCGGTCCATTGCCTCGATGCAAGCAGCTAAAACTTCCTCCGTAGTGTGTCTCAGGACAAGAGAATAGCTGTGACAAAGTGACAATTAATGCAAAACACTTGAAATGGAAGAAATTTATCTAAATGCAATCAAGAGAGAACATATCCAAATACTCCATGTCGTTTCTAAATGGGCTTTGACTAGCTTCTTCATTTCGGCAAATTACTCTAGCAAGCGTGATGTCATTTATGGCACCTCTCAAAATCCCCAATCATTAGACAAAACAGAAGGCATAAATTCTTCACAAAGTCACAAAACGGTGACTTAGCTTACATGACCACTTAACTAAAATGAGGTTGGTTCTCCTTGAAGTCTGAAATGGAAGATAGACTATCAGCAATAACATCAACAAGTTGGCATTTAATTGATTGATAAAAAACCATATAATGTCAAGGTTCACTAGAATTAGTTTGTTCTAACAAATTCATAATCATGCACTATTAAACAATCAATCAATCAATCCAAGCCTTAATCCCATAAGTGGGGTCACCTACATGAACCAAATATGATTATTCCGTGTGGTCATCCACACAAATCTTCCTCCTCCATCCCTTACGATCCAATGCTTCATCCTCATGCAAATCCATATACTTCATATCCTTCCTAACCCCTTCCAACCAAGTCATTTTCGGTCTCCCTCTCCCTCGTTTAACCCCTCCATGGTCCCACTCTTCCACTCTTCGAACCGGTGCACCCTCGGGTCTCCGTCTTACATGCCCAAACCAACGCAGACGATTTTCCCTTATTTTGTCTGCAATGCCTGCCACACCTACTTTCTTGCGAATAACCTAATTTCTGATTTTATCTCTTAGAGTGTTCCTGTACATCCACCTTAACATGCGCATTTCCGTAACCTTCATCTTTTTAATGTGCTCCTTCTTAGAAGCCCAACATTCTGTACCATAGAGCAACATTGGTCTTATGACAGTCCTATAGAATTTTCCCTTCAACTGTAAGGGGATGCTTCGGTCACATAACACTCTCGTGGCCGCTCTCCATTTAAGCTACTCCGACTTAATCTTGTGGGCTACGTCTTGAATTTTTCTGGATGATCGATCCAAGATACTTAAAACATTCACTCATGGTCAATTCCTTTCCATCCAAACTCATCACTTCATCGCTTTTCCCCTCTCTCAGTACCACAGCGACATACCAAATATTCAGTCTTACTCCGACTTAGCTTAAACCCTCTAGATTCCAACCTTTGCCTCCCTTGCTCTAACTTGGCATTAACCCTATCTTTAGTTTCATCCACCAAAACAATATCATCCGCAAACAACATACACCATAAGACCTCATCTTGAATTGGTCTAATTACTTCATCTAGAACCGTTGCAAAAAGAAAAGGGCTTAATGCAGACCCTTGATGCAATTTAATTTTAATAGGGAAATCTTTTGTCAACCCTCCACATGTCCTCACATTTGTTGACACATCCCGATACATATCCTTAACCAGATCCACGTACCTTCGTGGGATACCTTTCTTCAACATTGCCCACCAAAGTACCTCTCTTGGTACCTTGTCATATGCCTTCTCTAAATCAATGAAGACCATATGAAGATCCTTCTTCTTTACCTGATAAAACTCCATCATTTCTCTTATCAAATGGATTGCTTCCATAGTAGATCTCCCAGGCATAAAACCAAATTGGTTATCCGAAATGCTTGGGCATGGCCTCAACCTATGTCCAATCACTCTTTCCCACAACTTCATAGTGTGGCTCATAAGCTTAATCCCTCGATAGTTAGAACAATCTTAAGCGTCTCCTTTGTTTATATAAATCGGGACCAAGGTGCTCTTCCTCCAATCTTGCGGGATCCCCATAGCCCTCTATATCTTGTTAAAGAGGTCTATTAACCAATCAATACCAATATTACCCAAACACCTCTACACCTCTATTAGTATACTATCAGGGCCAACCGCCTTCTTAGGCTTCATCTTCTTCAATGCAATCTCTATCTCTACTCTTCTAATCCTCCGCACATATTCCATGTTGATTTCTTCATCACTCACGGAGGTATCTCCCGTCACAACTCCATTACTTCCATTAAAAAATTCATCGAAGTACCCCTTCCACCTGTCCTTGATGTCCTCCTCTTGTACTAGGACAATTTGGTTCTTATCTTTGACACACTTTACCATGCCAATATCCTTCCTTGCCTCTTGCCTTCTCTTTTCCATCTTATAAATGATCTTTTCTCCCTCTTTGGAGTCAAGCTTTTCATAAACCTCCTGATAAGCCTTTTCTTTCGCTTGTCGAACAACTGCCTTTGCCTTACTCTTAGCCTCCTTATATGCTGCAAAGGTTTTCGTCACTCCTTTATTTTCCTAAGGCTTGATAGCTTTCCCTTTTTTTCTTGATTATTGCTTTCACCTCTTCATTCCACCACGAAGTATCTCTCTGCATCAAAGTTCTTCCCCTTGATTCCCCTAAGACCTCTTTGGCCACTCTTAGGAAACATTTTTTTATTCGTAACCAAGTCATGTCTGGATCCACCTCTCCATTCCAATCCGCCTCCTTGATTACCTTTTCTGTAAAGGCCTTAGCATTTGCATCCCTTAGAGTCCGCCATCTTATCCTTGGCTCCTCTTGTCTTCCTTTTTTCTTCGCCTTTCAAACGAATAATCATAACCAAAGCCAGTGTTGGGTGACCACAATCTCTCATGGGATGACCTTGCAGTTTAAGCAACTTTGTCTATCCGTGCTCCTTGTGAGCAGGAAGTCTATTTGTGTTGCATTTGCTCCACTCCGAAAAGTTATCAAGTGTGAATCCCGCTTTTTAAACCAAGTATTAGCCAAAATTATATCATATGATTGGGCAAAATCCATAATAGCTTCACCACCTGCGTCCCTCTGCACTCTTAAACAATGAACAGGAAAAATTATTCAGAATGAAATGCTAGTATTTCTAAGTAAGATACTGGAAAGGCTGGAAACTGGCTAAGACTAAACAAAAAAATATACAAGTATATTACACAAGCTGCACCATTATCAAAATTCCGCAAATAAGGCTGCTACCTATGGAAGAAGTGAGGATATAGATGCAAGCAGCCAAGCAGTATTGCCCAAAAACTTGCAGAGTTACTCTTTCAGCCTTATTCCCAAATGCAAAGAGGTTGTAAGCTTCTTGACTTTAAGGGCAACTTACTAGCCTATTACTTCAAATTTCACAACAATAAGCAAAAGACAGATTGACGAGATATTAGATTTAGCTCATCACAATCCAAAGTTAGAAATTGTTCATTAGATAGTTTTTTAAAATTACTGATGGAACAAAAGAACTAGACCAAGTAGTGCAACTGCCAGACTTCTGTTTCGAAAACATAGTTCACAAACTCAGCCCATAGCTATAGTAAAACAGTATAGGGGACAAATAACTTTTGCACGGGATATTTTCAAGTCAACAATAAGAATCCTAATGGGAGAGATGTAGCCTCTAATCACTCAAAGAGCTGTATGAAATATGAAAAGAAAACAGAAAAAAAAAAAAGGGAAAGAAAAAAAAAATAAAATAAAAAATAAAATAAAATTGTTGTATACTCAATTTACAAAATTAACTAGCTATATTTACTTACGGCAAGAACCAGACAGATCTGGAGCTCAAATCGTCATCCTTCTCCCTCTGTAGGTGAAATGGGCTTGTTGGCGCAAGAAAATATGGAGTAACCTCAAGCTGCATAATTCACATTTCATGCCATTGGTTCTTAATCCTAAATTCATAAATGTAAATAACATGCTAAAGTATTCATGCAGAAATATGCAGACAGCCAGACAAGAGAGAGGTTATTGAACGGCAATTTTAAATTATAGATTTTAAAATAACTTGAAATGACCAATGATCATGCACTAACAATCATCAAACAGAAAGCATGTAAACATTCAGGGATTCACCATGATGAGAAAGTAGAAATTGAGAACATGTGGAGCAATTAATCTCTTGTTTTAGAAAAAGCAGAATACTATAAACGTGCTCATGCCTAAGATTTAAATATTTTGTGCAGTCGTGCAACAATTTTATTGTTTATTTTAAATAATGGATCATGCTTTGGTTTGCTGGTTAGAAACTCCCAAATTAATCTCCAAAACACAATAGGAGACATAAATAAGCAGCCCTATCCATACAACATCAATAACACAAACTGAAATCCAGTCACAGGAAACCTTCTTGTGATCATTTATAGGGGGAAACAGACAATGTCCATTGTTGAGCATCCTAACTTTAAACATATAAAATGAAGGCCTCAAGAACAAAGAACCTAGCCTAAATCCGTAAAAGAAACTAAAAATCCTAAGAAAGCAAAAGCTTCAGCCACACCTAAATTAGTCATTTCATATTCTCTTGAGTGAGACTACTTACATCATCAAATGCCTGCAAGTTGAGCCAGACGTTTGTTCCACTCATAAGAGACACTTGCCTCTCTGACGTGTCCCCTCCAAAAAGCACAAATACTCTTTTCCTTTCCGACATTGACTCCTTTATCTGAGAGTGCTTCTGTCTTTCAAGTAATAAATTTGACTCGATAGTGTACGATGCTAAATTGGGGTACCGTGAACATGCGCGCTGCAGAATGCTCCGCAGGATTTTTGAATGGGAAAATCCAACCTAGAGGCAGAAAATCCACAATGGACATACAATAAAAAATTAATCAGCCTCATGGAAAACAACTGTATCTATATTGACGCAAATTACATCACCCTACTAAAACAGAATTTTAACAAAGTCCACTAGAAAAAGATACTCCTCCATCCCACAATGCCATTTATTTCCACCTTGTAATCTGTGACACACAGCATTTTGAGTTGCAGAATACAAAGTGGGCAAACATTGTGGAAAAGAAAGCTCATCTAATCCATCCCACAAAATGGGAGGAGTACAAGAAAGATACCTTTGATGCTTGTTGGAAAAGGAAGCTTGTCTGTTCCATCCCACTGATCTAGATTTGGTGAATTTTCATTAGCAATTTCAAGCGTAGTACAACATGTATGACTAGAAGAAACAGGTATTAGGAAAACCTCTGACCAGATTGATGTCCGTAAACAATACAAAGCCAGATTCACTTCTTCCAAACTTTGATCCTGAAGAAAGTTTCAGAAAAGAAGGAGGTAGATACCAACCATCAATCCGAGCAAAATCACATAATCCAAGACGTTGGAATAATAAAGAGGCTCCTTCCCGAATCATCTCAATTGCATCTAAGGGGAAACGAGGGGGAGTATGATAAGCAACCTGTTGACACAAATAATTTAAATGAGGATGTGCAGAAAAAAAAAATTATGTTGATTGTTAAAGATAATCCCCCTGATACATGTGAATATGTCATAGCAGATACAACCTATCATGGCTGAAGTTCAAATTATGGGAGTTACAAAAATGGAAACTCTTGCCACCAATTATACCATTATTAGTGCTGATACTAACAGCTAAGAAACACATTAGAAAAAATCATCATCTAAAAGTAGTTTATATCAGAAATCATGCTACTATTGGAGGTATGGACAGGGTAAACAAATTAAAAAATATATATATTATATATTAACTTTCGCAGGCCAAAAAGCTGTTCTAGAAAAACATTGATGATTCTTATCAAAGAAGAATTATCTAAGAGTTCTTTTTCTGCATATTAAAAAATATATCCATCTCCTTGCTATTAACATATAGTCGTATACCTGCTGAGTAGGCAGATATTTCCTTCGATAATTGAATATTGCATCCTTTTCTCTCAGGTTTGCATCACCTTTGAATTGAAGCTCCACCTGGTGATTATCACAGTAAATTAAACAACAAAAATATGAATAGTATACACAGATTCACATAGTAGAATGATATACAGCGTCATAAATTTTCAAGTGAATGATAGAATAAGAATAATTACTAAAGGTTAAAGATGCTCAATGCTACCACTTTGCACTCTTAAGAGAGACATGGTATAAGACATCCTATTATGATCCCATCAGCATAATCAAGCACAATTAGATCATTCAGGAAAATATAATAAAAGATATCCATCACCACAAATCAACTATGGCCTGCTTTAAGTTATCTTAATAAAGGCGTGCATGCCATGCAACATAGTCTTTCATAAAAAGATAGACAAACAGAAACATGGCACTCTTACATTCTCAATTAGCATGAGTAGTTTATTATGTAGAACGAAGAACCCAATAAGCCAAACACGGGATTTTAAATCAATTGATAGCTAGTTACTTTAAACACAGTATCAAGTTCAGTACTTAAATCAGAAAAGCTGATTCAGGAAAAGCGGCAACAATATAGAGTTATGTAAAACAACAATAGCGTAATATATACACTATATGGCACTAACTTCTGTAGGCAATAATACAACCGGGCTTCTGTCAGAACCAATTCCCACATCAAGGACAATTGCAGTAAACTCCTTTCCTCCTTCGAGAAATGTCTCGACAAGAGCTTTATCATCAACTTTCTGTCATAAACAAACAGAAAATAGAGTTAAGAAAATGCGCACCACCAATTCTAGAAACACATATTCTTCATTTTATTTTCTTAGGTGTCAAGCAAGCATCCTAAAGTTTAGGAATCAGGAATCAAAAACACAAAATTTAGAGTTTGGAAGGGATGAAAGGATAATGAAAACCTAATAATATTGTGTAATGAACCGACTTAGGGGAGGGCGTTACGAGTCGTTCAGTATTGTTGTTATGCAGTACATACAAGGGAAATTATGCAAGGAACCAAGAGATGCCACATGGGCACAAAAAAAGACAAACTATCTAGAATCATCTTAGGGATTGTAAATAAATAGGGAGAGGGAAGGAAGAGGAGGATAGGCAGAAATTTGGTGTGAACCCTTGAGAGAGTTATGGCCTAAAGCCATTGTTAGAGAGTTGTGAGCTAAACTCACTATTGGAGAGTAATAGCCTAAAGCTATTGAACCTATCTTTTCTAATCCTAAGTCCATTGTCAATCAATATTGAAGCTTCCATTTTGTAATTTCTTCTTATTAAATCAATTAAATAAAAAAAAAAACAAACAGATTATTTAGTTAATCAACAAATCAATCTTTTCTGTGAGTTCGGTCCGTGAATTTCTGTCTATTACATATTGGTGCAACAAAGTTGCTTAATTCGCTCATCATTCCAGGCCATACTGAATTACTGAGCTTCATGCAAGGCAGCTAGGGCATAAATGAAGTACAAGTACAGTAAGTCATTCAATAATGACACACATCACTAAGAATTTAACACCACCCCACCCCCTCTTTCTCCCTCCTCTCCTTTATCTTTCTTTTACCCTTTATTTAGGGGGGATCACCTTCACAGTTTAATGTCTATTGTCTAGTGACATGTCACCAATTGTACAATACATACATCTGTTATTATTCGGCAAGCCTTTGTAAAAGAATCAGCAACTCCATATGCAACAGTAACACCAATGCTTGATCCTCCTCTTGCTGGTTTTACCTGAAAAAACAAATAAATAATCACAAGAATGAAATAACCTCAAACTTTCATGAAAAGAGTTTTCAAATGTGTAATTTATTTACCACAACTTTTCCTGTTCCGATATCCAATTGATTTGTTTCAAACCACTTCTGTAGATCGGTTTCATCTGACTCGTTTCCCTAATAGCATGAATAAAAATAATTATCAGTAGCAAAATAGCTAAGATTACATTCTTTAAAACAATTTTTTTTTTTTAAAAAAAAAAGGAGCAACGAGCAAGAGTTGAGACACAATATTTGATTTTGTTTATAGTATAATAACTAATAAGGACCCAACAAAGTGGAGAAACGACCTATAAGGATAGATATTTTTCATTCAATTTCGTATAGTTCATTAGTTGAGCACCAATTTATAACTAGTATAGCTTATTGGTGAATACTTAGAGCTTTCTCCTAGAATTGAAGATTTTTTTTATTAACGACCTTGTACACAGCTGCTGACAATTTTCTGGATTTTCTATAACTTTAAAAGCAACTGCTTCAGCTTCAGAATCTCTTCAATATTCCCTTAGTCAAAACATACAACCTTTCATAAGCATCAAAAAAGATCCCCCAGAATTTATGAGTTTAAAATAGTCTTGAAAATCATATGGAAGAGCCATATCTGACAACATAGTTTCTCAATTACTCTCACAGAGTTACCACCTATGTACTATAACAGGATATAAGGGGATAATGAGTGTAAGACCAGAGGACTCTTAGCTTGTTGCAGCCATACCCCTAGAACTGCTGAGAGATTTTTTCTCACTTTCATTAGAAACTTGATCTAAAAGGAATAGAGCTGCCTATGACAGACATAAATAGGTGTCATACAACTTTTATTACCATCCAACAATCATAAATTCAAACTGACAAAGAAATCCTGAAAGAATAACACTACAATCAACTGGCAACAATTCTAACAGAAGCAACAAAAATGACTTATATCAATACAAATACCTGAACCAGGAAACTAGGAACTGTCAAGAATCCTTGTCTGCTCAGCTCTAATGAGGCTTCATACTACACATCATATGAAACACATCAGTTAGCACCAGATATAGGTAACCTTTTTTTTTTTGGGGGGGGGGGGGGGGGGGGGGGGGGGGGGAGGGGGGGGGGGGGGGGGGTGGTTGACAAGTCTGCATTGCGAGGTCATTTCTCAGAGGGACTTCAGACCTCTGAGTTAACAGATGTTCTTACTCAAGTCATTAAACCAACAGCAGAGGTAAATTTGTGATATGATGAGATAAGTCCTACAAAGGCTAGTCATTGATTAAATACAGAGGAAAGAATAGAAACAGATTGGTGATAAGCAGGGAAAATTAGAACCAATCCCACTTTCTAGGCACATAATAGATCCCATTCCTTATTAGTTAAAATATAATAGAGTTTATGTTAGGAAGAACTGCATATAATCTCCTTTCATAGATAAGCTTATATATTTATATACTCCCTCAGCTATTATCCTTTTGTTCTACCCACTGCCTGTAGGTTCATAATTAAGGCAAGTTAGAAAAACGTGGGGGTGTGTTAGAAAAAGGTGAATTTGTTAGAGAAATAAGGATCAAGTAAGAAAGAGCGAGTAAAAAGTGAGTGTGGGTAAGCATAAATATTTAGTAATTCTGTAAAGCTTTTCGGTTTTTCTACATCAGACCAAGGAAAGTAAAGCATACAAACTATCAACAAATTACTCTTTTCTAAAGCATACTTCATAAGTAGAATGAGTCTTTCCAATTGAAACTAGCTTCTTGGCATTTTGACATCTTATAAAAAAAAATTGATATGCTCTAATCTGGTTTAATTGTATAAGTGCTGGTCAAGCCTTTTTTTTTTTTTTTTTTCTTTTTTTTGGAAAATAATTGAGATGTAGGACAGATTAAATCTTAGAAGTTCACCTGGCTTAGTAGACTCAATTCCCATCCCTCTAGTGGGAAGATCCGAAATAACTAATCTGAGATGCTGTTTTCCCAGTTAAATATTAATTTGTTCCATCTATATAGGGCATAATGCGCATGTGACATGCATAGACAACTTATGACAGAAGCAAGAAACTCCTGACAGAAGCCTCCCTATGAACCAGCTAAACCAAACAGTGCTATGATAGAATGATATGACATAATGCGCACTATTATATGACTTAGTCATGGATTCATAGCACATCATTGGTAATACTAAATGCTTACAATGAACTGGTCCTCAAAGTATTAGAGGGTCAGCCAGAGCAATAAACTCACCTTGTCAAATGCCTTGCGAGATTCATTTGATTTTGTACCAACAAAAGGGACCTTTGCTTGCTCCAACAACTCCTGGATGCCTAATTGCATGAGAGATTTCTGCGAAAAACTCCTCCTAGACAAAAGCATCAATTTTATATACCTGAAGAGTACCATCTTCACCAAAAGGACCATGGATGACAGGAAACACAATATCAACTGAAGCAGCAAGGTGTTCCACAAAATCTGACAAGCAGCGAAAACCTTGAGCAAGGCTGAGAACAACAGTGAAAACAAACAATTCATTTTATGGAATCGCTGCTAAATTCTCATGAAAGATGATAAATAACAAAAGTTAGAACTACACACCTTTCAAGCTTAAAATCAAAATCCGAAGGGGTGTTTGAATAGAGCTGCAAGTAGTAAGAGAGAAACAGATTAGCTCAATATGTTTGTTGCTGTTTGCATGCTACAAAGACAATATCTTTCTGCCAAAATTATCAAATGCATTCCTAAATTCCCAACCCCAACTTCAGAAGTGAACGTATTCTACAGAAAACAATATGATTTCCTTTCATTTCTTTGTAACTCAAATAAAAATCATAAAAGCTCTTGACAGTAAAACGCTCATTCCATAAAACAAATTAACATTAAAATAGTTCATCCAAACAACTTATTTTTTTTTTTTTTTTACCAAATGATCCATTTACACAGAGCAATTACAACTTACAATCACCAAAGCATGGCAACAGTTTAAGGGTTTTTCGACTTCCCATGGAACCGAATTATCAAATGTATTCAACATAATTTCCGTACTTCCTTTGTGTATTCGTACAATAGTTGTTAAAAATAGATAAGTAAGCTAAGCAGTTGACCTGAGCAGAAGATATGGCATAAGCATTGAGCTCACTGTCAATGTAGTAGCAGCTAACACACAAATCATCTCCCTGATAACATCATCAACAAAACATATCACAACACTTATACGATTGTACCACAAATCCACAATGTGCATTCCGTAATCCGGTCATCATTTCGATTTATGTCATTGCTCTTTATGTCTCTCTAAACACCGAAAAATATTTAGATAAAAAATGAAAAACAATGTACAACACTGCAAACTAAAAAATGTACTCCATTACTAATTCATCATGATTTCAACAAAGATTGTAGCATCTTTTAAACTATAGGTTATAAATTCAGAAAATTAATACTCCGACTACCCTAATTAAACATTAGTGACACTAATCGACTGAGTGATTTTGTCATAAATTCTTAAACTAATTCCATTTTAAGAAATATATTTAAAATTCAATCCTTATGATTAACGTAAGAGCTACATATATCAAATTAGTCAATTTCACTGAGAAAATTGCATAGAAAATAGCATTAATCTTCTCATTAGCTTAATGAAAATCACAAAATCAAAAAAAATTCCAAAAGAAAGTAAATTAAAATAACTGAAAAGAGGAAATTAAAATGTACTACTTGAATATGATCGAGAACTGATCGAGCAGAATTGAGCGAAATTCCGCGTTCCATAGAAGGACCGCCACAAATCAAACCAACACGAAGTACGCTCGCTTTCTCTCTCCTCTTTGAACTGCTGCTATCATCATCATCATCAACAACAACAGCTTCAGTGCTTGATTTAATTCCAGAAGATTGAAAATTCGACATGAAAGTTGGAAATCTTAGGTTTAATTTCGAAGAATTGAGGATTGCATTTTGCGACCGTGGAATCGCCGGTGATGATGCGTCGGAGACGATGAATTGTCGCCGGAAAATGACGGGAGTACGGGGGAGAGCGAGTGAGGAGAGAGAAAACATGAGAGGAATGATGAGTGTAAAGTTTGACTGTTCGAGGAAGAAAGTCAATACTAGAGTGGAAGTAAATTCAGGAAGGACTGGCAGCAGTTTTTCTGTCACTCCTTTGCGTTACACACTCCTTTGCGTTACTCACTCCGTTCGATGCAAGTTACGGAATCAGCGTTACATAATCTATACAAGTATTTAAGTTAGTGGGAAAGTGAAAGAAATAATATTAATTACATATAATGAATTAACTTTATTGATGATTTAAATGTAAATGTATTATAAAAAAATTAGAAAAAAAATATGTTAAATGATAAGTGTGACATGTAGCGCTATTGGTTTGTGGGATGGTCTGTGTTATTATAGATATATATACATATAGATAGAAGTATAGATACACTAGTTTGGGTGTCCAAATGACTTTCAAGTAGACTTGGCAAACGGGTCGTTCAGGTCGGGTCATTTCAAATGGTCGCTTTTGGGTCAACAAATATTTGGGTCACGTTCGGCTCGAGTTGGGTCAATTTAGGTTTCGGGTCAAATTTGGGCCGGGTTAATACTTTGGGTTGAGTTCAGGTTGGGTCAAGTTCGGGTTGTGTCAGTTCGGGTTAGGTCAGCTCGGGTTGAGCTAATTTTTAGGATTAGTTTTTGGGTCGAGCCGCCAAAAATAAATTCACTTAAAAAATTTGTGGGAAAATTCACTCTTATTTCAATAATAAGAGTAACTTTTGAATAATAATTAGACACTAAAGTAAATTTCTTTAAGAAAAAAAATAAAATTGTGAGTACCTATCGAGTCACTTTGGGTTGGGTCATTTCGAGTCGGGTTATTTCGGGTCAGATCAATTCGAGTCATGTTTGTTCGGGTCAATCAATAAGGGTCACTTCGGGTTTCGGGTCAGGTCATTTCGGGCATCGGGTCATATTTAGGCCAACTCCATTTCGGGTCGTGTTCAGGTCGGGTCGGGTTAATTCGGGTTCTGGTCAATGATTTCGGGTTAATTTTCAGGTTGTGGGTTGGGTCATTTGGGTCGGATTAGGATTGTCAGTTCTACTTCCAAGCAATTGAGCTTTCGAGAGTAAAGCCCACAAAGGATTAACTTGGGCACCTCAAGTTAAGTTGGCCATGATTCATTTCATGAGGTCCACATTAATCAACCATTTTGGCATTTTGGGTTACCGGATCATCCCACATTATGATACCTATTAGGTTCAATATTTGCCTCTTAAATTACATTTATGACCACTATAAAGGCAATTTCTAAGTGTATTCAATTTCTTTATACGCTCACAAAGTCATAAGTATTGTAAAAGATTACATCTATATTTTTTGTCAAGTATTGACTTGAGAATTAGAGCGAGTTTCCATCGACATTCCTCACACTCAATTAAATTGTACTTGTGTGCTGGTAAATCATCGCATAAAGATCAAATTCTTCATAATAAACTAAGGAACACGCCTTGATTGAACCATTGTTTTATACCTGGATAAAAAAATTTAGTTACCATCAATCCATTACTTATAGGCATATACAATTTTTAATACCCATATATTTATTTACGGAGTACAACACATCAAAATCATACCCACATTCGCTCGCAAATGCGATAGTATACCCACATGCGCGCCATCCTATCTACTCACGATCGAGAATCATAAAAATGAATTGCATGTGTAAGTACAACTACTATACCATCGAGATATTAAAGCATGTACTACTATAACGCTAAGGGCACAAATTCCGATGTTTGATTGAGAACCAAAGAAGAAAGAAAAGGGAGAAAAGTATGACAAAACGAAGGTGCAGTCATGTTATTTAACAAAAAAGAAACACTCGGGTCAGGCTTCTTTTCTAGCGAAGGCAACATTCACTTTGCTTTAACAAAGAGGATCTTCCCAAGTTGTTAGTACCAGTTGGTACTGAAATTTGGCACTAAATTCAAGAGGATCATCTTCAGTGCCTAAAGCTAAAAATTGGTTTTCCCCTCGTATATATCTTAAATACACCTTTTATAGTAATGCTATTTTGTAAAAGACTACTCTATCTGTCTCTTTTTATTTGCTCCATTATCGGTCCGTATTTTTTAATGGGGAAGAGTTGCGAAAGGAAATTTGTGCAAATAAGAGAAGAGCCACGACAAAGGAGGTACTCATCAATAAATAGCTAGATTGAAGTATTGTTATAGTTTGAATAAGTCGATTATAACCCAAAAAAAAATGATCTAATTAATTCAAAATTTATATTATGTATGAGTAAAGGTTTTTTTTTTTTTTTTTTTTTTTGTTCTATAAAGAATTAACTGTAAATTTCAATATGAATGAATTGATCTGATCTATACTCGATCCATTGTTTGTGATGAATGAGGCTCATTATACAAAACAAGTCTTCAACTTGAACCAAATAAATTGAGTTTGATTGATATGACATGGCCTATTTGTCACCTCTAACTCCCTATGTCTCTTATATAAATATGTCAAATTGTTCAAAAGTGTTTAAACCCTACATGTACTGTACTAAATTTTACAGTATACTTAATCTTGGTTTCCTAATCATGTTCCCTTGACTAATAGCTAGCAAACATTTCATACTTTAGCAATAATTAAGCAGTCGTTTCTTTTAATGTATGTACACAAATGTTAGCAAACATTTTATGCTTTAGCAGTAATTATGAGTGACACTATTATCCTAGCAATGATTGGAAGCAAACCAACTAACCAAGTACACATTTTATATATAGCCATGATATAGTAACTAACGAGAAAAAGTGTTGGTCAGAAAAGACTACATCGGGAAACATAATCCAAAATCCAAAGTTGTATATATGGACCACCAAAGTGAAGAATCCTAGTAAAGTTTAACACAATCTATGCTCAAATTATTGTAACACAGTTACATTCCTTTTAGGAGAAGATCTATTTTGAAAAATAAAATGGTGGGCAAAAATATCTTTTTTTTTTTTAATTGGATCAACTAATTTTAAGATGTGTGATGATAATTCCATCTCCTTGCATTTTGAAAATCAGAATGAAATTGCTAACAAAAATAAATAAATAAATAAAATTTCGAAGATGTATATGCTTGATAAAAGTGTTAAGTTGCATGTAAATATGAATACTCTCGTAGATTTCTAATAACAATTCTACCATAATAAGATATATCGATCTAAGCATTATATTCCAATAACCCCTTTGTATTTATATAGCTTTTCATCTTCTACAAGTCATCATTCTTATTCCAAATTATTCACTTAAATTCTAAACTGGTCAATGGACCATATGCCCATACCGTTATACATGACTTTAAGGTATCAATTATTTTTGTACAATGCAAGTAGTTTGAAGACCATAAAGTTGTTCTCAAATCTCTTAATTACATACATACACACACATTTATTTAAAATGGCGTAGGATGTAACATTAATCTTAATAAAGAACAACTTTTTAATTTCACTAGCTATAAAATTTGGATTTCATCTCCTTCGTTTCTATATAGTTGCAACACTTTTCTAAAATGAAAATGTCACAATAGTTGCAACACACTATAAAAGAAAGGTTTTTATGGTGAAATTTATACTATTACCTTTATTTAAACCTCATGGTCCACTTGATTTTACTCCTAACAACATCTTAATCGTATTTTAAGTATATTATATCATGTGAAGTCTACTTTTCTTGAATATTGTGATAGAGTGTGTGCTGCTACCGTAAAAAAACGAAAAAAGTATATATATTGATTACGAATGATATGTTAAAATTTGAACCCCTCATATGTATGCCATCAAATCATCAATAAGATCAACGTAGACAATAGGTCAGGCCGTCAAGAGGTCTAGCCACCTCGCCTACTGGCAAGCATCATTAAATTAAAAGTTAAAACCTATCTCTCTATTCTTTGATTTGGCAGAAAAACCACATGCACCTATAACATTTTTTAGGTTACTCTATTTAAAAATAACCCCTCAAGTAGCTTTATTATACATCAAAAGGATGTGTGCTCTAAACCCTTAAAAAAAATTGTTAGCATTTTTTGAATCCAAGAAGTTGCAAGATAAGTAAATTATTTCTATTTTGAAACTACTTTTGACACTTTTTATCTAAACAAGTTCATCAAAATTCAAACCACAAATCACCTCGACCTCAAATTTATTATAATTGTTGTAATAAAGAGGACACGGGATCCTACACTTACTTAGAGGTGTACAAATTCCACCTTTTGAACTTCAAATTGTTTACTAGTTATCTAATTCTAAAGTTTTTTGTGTAATTATATGTAGTATTATACCATTTTATTTACATATTGAAAATTGTCCCATCAATAATAATTGAAATAACTAAATAAGGGCACGAAAAATTTCCTATACAATGGTTGTATCGATCACATATGAGCCCTAAATCTTGTTCTTCCATCAAAATCAATTAGGCAGATTGGATTACATTATTCATCCAAGTCCTCTATGCCATTCAACATAATTTCAAAAGATTGATCTATGAACGGCCGAGCATACCATTATTATTAACATCAATGAAACCATACCTTAGCATGAAGTATAAAAGGTACATATATAGTCAGAGACGTGAACTCTTCAAAGTCATTAAATTCTACCTAGATGACTAACGACGGACCAAAAAAATTGAGCACTCCGAAGGATGGAATAATTGTTTGTAGTAAAAAAAAAAAAAAAATGTATTCGATCTAAAGAAAATAAAATATGCTTAAACCTACCAAAATTATCAAAGCTCAACTGTAGGGAGAATTCCTCCCAAGAGGGGTGCCTTGACTAGCCGGTGACAACCTCTCTAGCTTAGGCGACGACTCGAATTTCTTGTCACCCCCAACAACAATATCACTTGTTAGAAGTGGCTTAGACTCATAAATCTCCGAGATCGAATCGATTTGATGCTCAGCACCACTCCTATGATGATCCAAAGATGGTGGTGCAATTTGTATATCCGTACCCTTAAAAGGGTCCTCATGATCTTGAGAATTACCTAAGCAATTAGCCACCGTTGGAGGTCCAAGTTCTTGAAGACGAAGATGATCATCGGACCATATTAAAGGACTCTTACCATTATTATTGTTATTTCCATTGTTATAAGGATTTGGTCTCTTCTTATTACCTAAGCAAAGGCTATCACTTGGAACTTGCATAAAGTTCTCAAGTGATGAAGATCGGTCCAAACTTGAGTGAAGATCTAATGCTTGCTCACCACCATAGATGTTAAGGTCTTGGAGCGACGGGAAATTCATCGGGCCGAATTCTTTCATAGGTCCTTCTAAGTGGTCTCCGGCCATTGTTGGGCTATTATTGCCTAGGATGTTGTTGTTGCCTTTGTTATTATAGCTTGCTGAAGCTGCCATATTGGTTTCTCCTGCTAGTGTTTGACATGCTTTCTCTAGTATGTTTTGCATGTATTTTCCTTGTG